CTTCCCATCCAAGTAATTTGGGCAGACATCCTCAACAACCCATGATGAGAGGTAGACACTCCTGTAGGATGACATATTTCACGTGATGGAAGACAAGGGTCAGAACTTGGTAAGACGAATCCCATGGTTACACACCTACACGTGTTCAGCTCTGCACAGGGAAAGTGAGGCACCAAGGAGTGAGATTACTTATATCCAGCATGCTTAGCTGAGAAACATCAAAAAAGTGTGTTAGGAAAAGGGAATCATTTAGAATTAGCATAGCTTTTTGCTTTCAGTGATTAGTAGTAAGAGTTGACTAATGCTTGTTGTGCTTGATGGTAACATTACTGTGGATCAAAAGCCATTAAAAAGAACCCTGAAGTTATTTTTAAAATACTGTGATGGGATCTTTTGATACAACAGGACATCATTGCAATTAGGTACAGTAAAGCACAACTTGGTCTAGTGGTGTCCAAAGCACAGGAATTGCAACTGTTCATTAAGTAGTATCAGCTTCAGAGAGGTGTCAGGATTTTTATACAAGTCAGGTCTATCATGTAATTCTGGTAATGAGAGCTTCCTATTACAGCAGTGCCAGCATCCATTCAGAGTTAATTGCTACTGGTGTCATTATGACAGAACTTGGCTCTGTTCCCACCTGTCTCAAATGTGGACAACAGTGTCTAGGCTGTCCTTCTAAATGGATGAGGAAAAAGCTGCTTGTCTGTGCCTTGAGCTTCTGAGCTTTGATTAATTTGCCTAATATCATTATAAATGTTCAAAATATAACTGATCATATACATGCCATGGGTTATTTCTTACTGTAGCCTGTGCTAGATCTCCTTATCGTTTATTTCCTCTGTCTTCAAAAATGGAAGTGTGGAAGCCTGTGCCGGAGACTATCACCAGAGAAATCAGTCCTGAATGTTGCTGTGCCCAAGGCAACTACAAACCTGAAGGTAATTCAGCTATCCAGCTTGTCAGAAGCAATAAGTACTGTGTATCACAAGAAAAATATTCTGACTGGTGGAAAATAATGGATTGAGAAGGCTAAGTATGCCCTGCAGAATTCTTTTGTTCCATGACCATGGTCTTCCACATATCTCATCTTTAAAGACAAGACTGCAGGCAGTCCTGGCATCTTTCAGGATATATGTTAGAATTACCTTGGTAACTTTTAAACATTACTCTAGAAGCCTCGTTGTCTACTGTACAACTCCATTTTCATTACCATCCTTGGCTAGCAGGCTGAATAAAATTTACAGCAGTCACTGCCTAGTATACTAGTTAAGATAGTATTCAATGGCCCTAATTTTTGTATGTGCCTGAAGAAGAGCTTGTGTATAGAGAAGCTATCAAATTTTTTCTCAGAATTTAGTTTAATTGATAAAAAGATATAGTCTCTCCTAAAAAATGTTGTCTCTGGTGTATGCACAAACCTTCTTTAGACCACCCCCATCACAACTGAAACTGCAGTGACACTGTGGGAGACCAGTGTGAAGTGCTGCAGTGTGGATCCCTTATCACTTCAGTCTCTTCTCAGCTTAAGTAATACTTTTCCACAAAGACAGGGCACCCCTATCCTGCATAGGGTTTAATTATTCTTTTTGAGTTTCACAAGAGGAGAAATCTTCTTAAGCAACTGAATATATTTTTCATTAATATCCAGCTGGATAACCTCTTCCCAAGTTATTGAGAAATGGCTTTAGGAATTACTGGAGGTGAAGGCAGTGCAACAAATAGGAGTTGTCTGGAAGGGATAAGATTCCTTGTCTGTCTCATGATGGATACTAGATGAGTTTGATTTTATATACTTGATAGAAATGTGGAAGGGAAGAATTTTTCAGATAGGGGATGCCCAAATTACTTTGGAACAGACTGAAATTACTTATCTACTGTTACAACTGTAAGAAAACCAACAAATAAAACAACCTTCACTTGACATAAAGTGTCTGCAATTTATAACTAAGATCACATACTGTTCTGGATGAAGAAAGCAGCACACAACCCCAGCAACTTGAAGAAATTAGTAAGATGGTAAGCTGAGATATGGACCTGAATGCCCTCACTTATGATTATGTAAAAACATGCAATACAGGCAGCTCTGTTATAGAGCCCGAGTAGAGGGCTCTATCATGAATGAAGAAGCAGAGAGAGATCCAGAAAAAGGGGGGACATTTACAGGCTTTTCCCTTTGGGTTGAGAAACTGAGACTTTTGCAGTATTGATTCTATAAGGACAAGTTATATATACATCTCAACAAAAACTTTAAATTCTTCTTGAAAAAGGAACAAAGGTCTTGCTTTCTTGAATGCAATAGGAACAAACATCAGGAGTCACATGTTTCACCTGTTTTAATGCACTCTCAGTTTTTTTCTTGTGATACTGAGATCTATGTTAAAGAAACTCTTCTATTCTGCATCCATCCATGCTCAAATACACAATTTATTCCTCCCATTTATTTTTCTGATGGGCACAACATACAGCCCACCACCTTACAACTACAGATGTGTGTTGGTCCCCATAACTGAATCCATCACGCCATGCTGCCAGCTGCTGTAAGTGGTAGCTCAGCTGTCCATGTTCACTTAGCTTAGCTTCTCAGTTTCATCTGACATAGTGTCAGGAAGAGTGCTGAGCTTGCCTGTTGACTCTTTGTGTTTGATCTTGGACAGTTTGCTGGCACCCATTAGTCTCTGGCATCCTTCATCACAGCGACTGAGATGGCATGTAATGATATTGTTGAACAGCTGCTCCAACCTTCCGTACCATGAAACCAGCCACAGAGGAGGAAACCATTTCGATGACTAGCAGAAAGAGGTCTCCACTGAAGTGTAATTTTCTAAAACAAATTGCTTCTGAGATTTTCTGCGTGGTAAGTAAAAGCAGGAATGTTTTAACCATGAGCCTTTCTGTCAGTGGCATTCTGAAAAGTGACTCTCTGTTTAATCCCTTTTCCTGTTTTAAGTGACCAGATTTAAGATGCAGTCACGTACAATAGCTAAACAGTGAGCTATTTATTTTGTGGGAATAAAGGATTTGTATCGAGCACTTACTTGAGAAAGCTGTCTCTGAATGATGATAAGCCCAGGTTAATCAGTATGCAGCCATACACCGCTTAAATGTTTTCCACACAAGTCTAGCAAAGATTAGGCAGTTTTACTGGATTATTTTTCAATAACATTCTGAGTACTAAGCATGAGGTTTCCTGAAATGTATAAAATTAGATACAATTTGTCTTCTTGTCTCATTCACTCATGTGAAAAACATACTGATTTCATTCAAATAAAGTCTACGGTTTTGTCACTGACTTCAGTGATGCTGGTATTTCAATTTTTGTACTCTTATTTCAGCATTAAATCACCCTTCCTAGCACTCCTGGGCCTTTGTTTGTATGTGAGTAGTGTGATACAGGATAAAGTGAGTCCAGGTCTGTCAAAGTGAGACATCAGATCCGTATTTCCCTTTTTACTAAGATGACATGACACTGTAAGCATTAAATGCACGCCAAGCTATTTGAATGAAAAATTCACAGAAACATAACATATTGTCTCATAATAAACCATACTGGACAAGATTCAGAGATTTCCTTAAAAAATCTCTACTTTTATAGTATCCTGTGAAAGGAACCATAAATAAGAATCATCAGTATTTCTGTACAAGAGGTTATTTTAAAGGTTTCTTTTTCTGCCATATGGACTCCTGTTGTCTGTCATGCTAAGAACATTTATTTGTAAAGTCTAGGGTTGTGCAGTTTTGGAAAGCTTCCATGTACATTTTGAAAAGGGAGATGCAATCTCTGCATAAGGTCACTAAAGGCAGATGTAGTTTCATTGCCTGTTACAGCATGCACAGAGAATATGTGACTTTCTAACACATTCTACAGTGCAGGAGAAAGATTATTTAAGTGTTTACCAAGTGATAAAAAAATCCAGACAATTACATATGTTTCAAATTTTTTAAATATTCTACATCATAACTACTCAAAAAATACATGTAGCATGACTTTTAACCCAAGGAAGGAATTTTTCATAGAATCATCACATCTTATAATGGTTTGTTTTGTAAAGGACCTTAAAGATCATCTAGTCCCTGCCATGGGCAGGGACATTTTTCATTAGATCAAGTTGCTCAAAGCCCCATCTAACATGACTTTGAACACTTCCAGGGATGGGGGATCTGCAACTCCTCTGGGCAACCTATTCCAATGTCTCACCAACCTCACCATGAAAAATATCTTCCTTGTGTCCAGTCAAATCTACTAACTTTCATTTTGAAACCATTACTCCTTTTCCTGTTACAGTAGGCCTTGTACAAAGTCTGTCTCTGTCTGTTTTATAAGCCCCTTAAGTATTGAAAGGTCACTGGATTTTCAGTTTTATGATATTGTTTTGTCTTTGCAGGGAAAACTCCAGTGTCAGCAAAGAGACACTGGCAGAAGAGCAGAGTATTGCTAATCATAAGTGAGTGTGTAGAACAGGTCTTCTTGAGAACCAAAAGATTCTTTGGGCAGAGATTGCCTTTCCACTCTACATGTCCACTGTACCTACAGCAATGCTATCCTACATGTGGCAATCATAATAATTACAATAAATATAGGGTTTTTTCATCAGCAGTATCACTTCCCATAGACTTCTGAAGGTGTGAATATATTTACTTTCAGAGGAAAAAAAAATTCATTTAGACAAATCAGTCTCTTTTATGCTAAAGTTACGCTTCATAAAAGGAACTGCTATTGAAAAGACTACATTGGTACTCCCTGAACTGATCTGACAGAGCATGTTTGGCTTGTTTCATCCACTGGGGACTCTCAGTTTACTTAAATATTATGAAACCAGAAGGTTCATGTTTAGAGGAGAATTATGTACCTCTCAGCTTTTAGGCAGGCAACTACATCATGGTCTGTGGGAGACAGAGCAAACTACTTCTGATAGAGCTCCTGGCAGAACTTTAGGGCAGTGGGATCTTCTAAGGAGTTGCTGTAAAAAGTCAGTGTTACAGAGTGGACCCAGCTATTCTGGGGCAATGAGAGCCACTGGATGAGAAAAAGCAGATGGGAACTAGTGGTTTCCCTGTAATCTCATGGCCTATAATCACATATACAGGACAAGTGCTGAGTCTACCCTCTGACATTAAAAAGCAGTTTTTACAATGCTAGTATTTTTTCATATGTCTGCTGCACCTTATTCAGAAACTGGTCTGTGAACAACAAGCCCAATATTTCTCTTTATAGTTGATATGCTGAAATATCCTGTGCCCAGTCTGAGCAGCTGCTCTGTCTGAAGGTCCTACACATCCTTTATTGTTTGTATATGAACAACCACTGAAATGTTTCTGTTTCTGTTGTCTTTGCTATACAGTGTAGCTAGAGGATGCTGATGCTCTTCAAATAGCTGTAGTAGTATAAAGTGCTAGAAATGCTTGTGCTAACTTGGGATGGATAAACAGATTTCAAGAAATGCCTCTTCTGCATTAATGAACAAACAATTCACCTCTAAAATAGGCTTGTAACGAAGCCACACTGAGGGCATTTCCTGTCAAAGCTGTTTTTCACTTTTACCTAGTCCTGTGTTGTTTGCTCCAGTTGTTTGCTTTTTCTGCAGGTCAGTGTAGAGGAGTTCTCTGTGATGGTTTTACAGCTCACCCAGACAAGAACATAACCCTGGGCAAACTCAGTGCAGTGCTCACTGAGTGCTGACTGGATGCAGCTGACTAGGAGCCAGGATGGACAGCACCATAGTCAGGTGTACAAGCAGATAACTGCAGAAATGCTTGTCCATATACTTTTCTGGAAGAGACACAGCCTCCCTTACCTGTTTTTTCCTCTTGGATGTGCTGTGTAAACATTTTGCTCTTGTGGCTTGCTACTTTCTCGCACTCAGTGTTATTGGTACCCAGCCGCTAACAGCTTTGATGGAACATGATCATTTGGAAGCCTTGACTCAGTGTCCTTTCCCTTAGACCTGCACCATAGGTTCAGGAATGAAAATCAGGTGTGGCTGAACACTGGAGAAAGGCAGTTGTGTTTCAGTCCCCAAAGGTGCTGGATAACACTGCCTCCAGTTAACTTAGGGAAAGTGAAATTTACTTCAAACTTCACAGCAATGAACTTCTAGATGTCTTCTTTTTCTCCCTGCAATATAGAGGTGTAGCTGTTTAATGAACTCTGGAAGTCAGAATATCCAGCCCAGTATGGTAATCATTAACAGAAGTAAAAGTGGAGAGTAAAAGTTAGGACTGGAATACCACATAAGGACTAAAAATAGTGCAAATATATTAGAGTGCAATGAAAACCTTTTTATTTGCTCAGTAATGCAGAAATACTTTGGCAATAAAAAATATGTCAGTCTAATTCTTCATGTGAAGGAACTGAGTGTGGTAGGTAGAACTCTTTTTCAGACAGGATATGTGTGTGTCATAGTTAGGGTCTTAAAACACGTAGAGCCTCTGGAAGGGATATGAGGAAGGAGATGGGGTGAAAACTCTCAATCTCCCCAGTTATAAATCTGTATCTGCTCACCAAAACAATATTGCAGACAACTTGCTTCATGTCTGGGCTGGAGTAGAACTCACCTAATTTTAAATATTTATAGTGGGATACCACTGTTACCTAGACCCTCTTTTTATTGGAAAGAAATATTTCTCATGCATTATTCATCTTGTTCTAATGAAGTCCTTAAAGGAGTTCAGATGAGTCATGTCTCCTTTCTGGACATTACAGTGTAAAAGGCTAAAGTTCACTGAAATTATTGCCAACCTCGTTGCTTCTTGTAAATTATTTATTTATTTATTTATTTATTTTGTTTATTTAACTGGGGAAAAGAAGGTGCTTTTATGGTTTGAAGTTTATCCAAATGTATTGCAAAGCAGGAATTTGTATTGCATCTGTATTCAGCAAGGTTCCTGGGTGAATATCCCAACGAAGTGCAACAATTCTATGCGCATGGGCATGCTATGGACATGCTGCTTGCTGTGACAGGTCAACAACAATCTCTACACCGTGTTAAAAGTGAACCTTGGGCACATTCACAACATCTTGGTTCTTTGAATTCATAGGTGACAGTGGCTCCCTGAATGGGGGAACAGAGGTCCAGAATTTTCTCATCTGAACAATGCCGTGTAACAGGCACATAATCCAGGGGAACAGCAGAGTCTCAGGTGTGAGAGAGAAGGAAGAGAATGGAAATCGGAATAGGAGTGGGAATGGAAAGGGGTAGAGGAAGGGAAGGTGTTCAAAATTGGATGTAGAAACATTGCAGGTGCAGAATACGAAAGTCTTTTGCTTAAGATGTAATTGTTGGGAGACAAGTCCTAACCATCAGACTACATTAAAGTGTGTCACTGAACAGGTTGAGTGTACCACTCCAATGGGTTGAGCCTGTACTGCATAGCCAGCAGGGGTTAAGGAGGGAAAAGCAGGTTGAGGCAAATGTAAAATTTTCCTGGAGACATCTACTACATATTTTGTCACTGAGCCAGTTAAGTGTTGCAGTTCATGCCAACTAATCTATTAATACCTGGGTTGGAAGGCACTTTGCAAAGTCTTAACATATACTGCACGTTGTGATGTTTTTAATATATAAAAAAAGGAACAGTCAAATATTACATGTGTATAAAGCCCCTGAGCACAAGTATTACCTTGCTGAAAATTACTGTTTTGAATCAATTCCCAAACTTATACACTACCATCAGCACAAATTCACTAGCTATCCCATATACTCTTTCTACTTGATTGGTTTTGGCTTAGGCATCTGGCCTTCTCAGCATTATGGTGAATCTCTTCCAATACTGAACACTCCAAATATTGAGCTATTTTTTTGGGGAGTTAGGGTGTAACTTGATCTGACATATTCACAATCAATATAGTTGCTTCCCTTTGCTGTGCAGTGGGGGTTTGGTATTGTACTACCTCTCACTGAAATACCTCTGCTGAACCAACCCTTAAGCAAAGAAAATTTTCAGTCTGGTGTCACGATGCAGCAGCTGCTGAATATTGAATATTGACTATCTGTCATTACCTGGATGGTTGTAATATGGTAGGGAGAGGGAGGTATTTGTTTCCCTGTATTTTCTTTTATTTCAGAAGAGCCACGTATATACTGTGACCTTTAACAGTTTTTCTTTATAAATATGTGGCAAGGTTCTGGCATGCAATGTCTACAAAAGTAAATAAAGTCCCAACCACAGCTTCATCAGGAAATGGTATGAAGATAACTTTCCTTTTTGAGACTGATGCCTTGGCCACCAAGAAAAGAATAACCAGAGAATAATGACCCCCACTGCTTTCAGTCTTGCCCAGCTCTTTTAAATACATTTATCTGCCAGTTTGCAAGCAAGAATTTCAACTTGCTTTTGATTAGGGGATCACTCCTTTCATGGACTTGTATCTAAAGTTTATGCAAAACTTACCTTTCAAGAATGCTGCCATTCTTTGGGGAAATAAGCTGTTATTTTGTTTGCCTATTAATAGTGAATCTAGCCAAATTTCTGGTTCATTATGCTTCAGAGTCAGTAGCAATATTTTGCCTTCTAACTCTAGATAAAAATATGTTGGAAGATTTTTTTGACTATTTATATTACAGACTTGTTTCATTTTCCAATAGGGGAATGGAAGTTAGTTGCATTTTAATTGTCTTGTTGATGCTTTCAAAGAATTGTCTTTATTTGTAAACACAGTTGTTAAATCCATACCTCACCAATTTTCACAGCTCAATCAAGAAATCAGGAATATCAGACAACTTAAGTAGCAGAATTCAAGTTTTAAATAGAAAGTCAGCTTCCTGAAAACATGGGAAACCATGGGAAAACAGAAATAAAACTGGAGCTTGATTTCAGTTTGAAAACTGTAAATGCAAACAGTATCACATAAGTTAATGAGCATGCATGCAGAGAATACAACCTTAGATAAATGTTCTCAAGTGATCATTTACAGAACTAGGTTTCTATTGAACTTTTCATAAATCAAGCTGTTACAGTCACCTTTTCATTGCTCTACTCTGTTTGTAGTGCATTGCAACTAATCCAATCAATATTTTCCACTTTTTGATGCCTTGGTAAATTCTGAGACAACTGAAAAGGGCCCAGAGTAGGAAGCCATTTGAAAGACAGGGTTTAGTTGCTGCCTCTGTTGCTGTTTTTCTAGGTGAATGTGGATTTCTCACCTCTGTTTCCTCATCCCTCAAAGTCCTATTTGTAAAGCTGGGATAATGGTACAGAATGTTTTCCAATCAATAGTCAAAAAGTGAAACAGGAGAGCCACTTACTGTTCCCTTACAGTTTCAGACTTAATTGTGTCAATCAAAGATGTCATTATTCACTGAAATGCTAGAGGACAGAAATTATTAGCAAACAGCAAATACCTGATGTTATTTGCTCCTCTTTATGTTCTTTCCATTCATCTCTTCTCATTTCCCCAATAAAGGCTGCTAGGAACTGTTTGGTTGACAGCAAACTTACTGTGAAAGTATCTGACTTTAAGATGACTAGGTAAGGGAAAGAACTGGGGGCCTAGTGAAGCTCTGATGTTGGTTTACTGGCATTGACCAGCTGGCTGATGGGAAAGTTAAGCCGAAGGGTGTGATACAGCTCTTTGTGTCTCCTTTCCATTAATGACTGTAAGTCATTTTAGAAGAAGAATAGGGTCACTCTGCTGTCTTAAAAAGTTAAGGCTTAAGGGCAAATTTCAGCTGAGAGATTTCACTAGTCATGTTTTTAAAGAAATCTCAAAGTTTTTTTGGTGTACGAGGTTTTCACCTAATTTGAGGACCAAATATCTTAATCAGATTACCTGATTAACAGTTGCCTGAATGGTGAGGATGAGCAACCTACAGAGCACATCGTCTGAGAAGAGGCTGAGGGGAGCAAGCTGCTTAGCCTGGTGAAGAGGAAGATAAGAGGGTATCTGAAAGCTGCCTGTAACTACTTACAGTTACAGAGCCAATGGAGCCAGGTAAGTCTTATCTGTGCCGGGTGATATAACAGCAGAGCAGATCTCGGCCACAGGCTGCAGCTCAGTAAGAGAAGTTGTTTCTCCAGGAGGGGGGTGGAACATTGAAACATGCTGGTCAGGGAGAGCACAAGATGGTAATCTTTGGAGGCTTTTAAGACTTAGCAACACAGTCATGGCTGACCTGCTCTGATGCTAGTCGAGCAGGAGGCCAGGCTAGATGGCCTGACAACAGGTGTTTCTATGATTCTGAGTTATTTCTCTAGAAAGTTGGTAGCAATGATCTGTTCTAGATTATCCTAATACCTCTATCAGGTATCCTTTGGAAATTTAAGGTTCTGCCTAGGCTTTCCTTAGGAACATTGCGATGTACAAGAAAGAAGCAGTAAAGTTTTTTCCACTGTAACTCAATCACAACCAAGTTTGGTTCTTGCCTTGTAGGTATGTTCTGGATGTTCTGTATATAAGTTCTCTAGGAACCAAGTTTCCAGTGAAGTGGTAAGCACACAAAGTTTTTCAGTACACCAAGCTGAGCAACAAGTCAGATGTATGGGCCTTTGGTATGTAGGGAATTTGACATATGAATTTGTGTGTATATATGCCATTACATTTGGATTTCATCAGCTTATTAGGCAGAAATGCTAGACATTTAGCACACTGAAGGATTGTGAAAAGCAGTTACAGTTTGTGTTCTTGTTTAATATTTTTGTGCAAACAAGCCCTATCCTATCTGGAATTTTTTAGCCCTTAGGGTTTTCATTAAGGCAAATAGAAACTCTGCCCACTCGCTGTTTGCTACATATGTGTTTAATATGGTAAAGTAAACTTTGGCAGTGGAGATAAAGTGGAATCTTTGGTATACCTAGACCATAAATCAGTGCTGCCCAGTTCAAAAGGGCTTTTCTGTTTTTCCCAGAGGTCAGAGTGGACTCTGTGCATAAGCCATCTGTGGGAGAGCCTGTGTAAACTGGGACTCTGTATCTCAGCAAAAAGTATTTCTGTTTGCAGATCACTTTCTACCCAGGAATTTCAGACATTTGAACTTCTAGTTCAGTGGTTTCAAGCTATGGTTTAGAAATCCCTGAGGTTTGTTCAGTGTTTCTTAAAGTCTGCAGAAGGTGTCAAAGGAAAGAGAACCTTTTGTGAGCAGGCTTGAATTCCACTTATCTGGGTCTGCTTCTCCAGCAGGAAAATTTTGGCAGCTGTCAAGTTGATAAAAGATTGGCACCACACTATTCTTGATGTTGAACAATGGTGAAAAAAGCAGATAAAAGTGTTTCCAAATGCTGGGCTGCTTCTTATCTTTAATCTCAGCTAGTCTCCCAGTATTAATGACTCTGTCAGAGAAAGAGTTCATTCATGCCCTTTACAAGTTGTTTATAATATATACAATTATATCAGAAGTTGGATTTTCAGGTGATACGTTTTCTTTTTGCTCTTATTGATTAAATTCTGGCCCCAGGCTTTACTGGCATTAACTTCAATATTGGCATTAACTTCAATATTGGCATTACCTTCAATGAGAAATGTTATTTTTCCATAGAAGATCTTTTTCTCATTTTAACACTATCCATTGATGCAGTGGAAGCAAGGGGAGAGTGGGATCTGTCAGTTCTTTTTTGGTTGTTATTAATTAATCAGACTTTAAGAAGTGAACTGATGTATTCATATCCCAAAAGCAGATGTCAAAGAAGAAAGAAACTTGGGGTTTTTAAATGTTCTCATCAAGGAAAGCTGGGATTCAGGTTCCATTTTATTATGATCTCACTGTTACACCACAATGTTCCACTCTTCAAGCTGGAGGGATGTCAAAGATCCCAAAAATTTCTAAAAAAGGAAAAAAATATGCAGCTAGTATTATATATAATTTTGAAATAAATATTTCACTTTTTTTTTTTTTTTTTTACTTTAGGGTAGGCATGAATCTCACATATGTTCAGTTACAGTCAAAACTGTTTCCTGAAAAACTATAATTATGAATTGATGATTTTGGTATTATCCATATCCATATTATCCAAAATATCTATTGCTTCAGTATAATCCAGGTTTAAAGGTATGTGCAGCTGACACTATAAAGTATTTGGAAATCTTTCTGATACCAAAGGAGTATATGTCCCACTCATTAAAAAACAGTAAATTTTTTCTTATTATTTTATAAAAACATAGATACCTCTCATTGTCATTTTGTTTTTCCTCCCTCTCTGTGCACACACACACATATATAAGAGGATGTTTGCACATATTCTGTAAAATTTCAGTCCATTGTTGTCCACATTAAATATATTTTACAGCTAACTTTATAACCTAACTTCATCTTCCCCTGCAGTAGGAGTTGTTTTACATTTGGGTATAAAGTCACACTTTTTAGTTCCCTTGATACTTTTCTTTGGACAATATTCTCTGAGTCTGATCAATTTTATCTTGCATATATATCTTGTTTTGTGAAAAAGGACTTACCTTGTTGAATTTCTTGACTGTCATTTCATGTCTTAATGTGGGAGGTGTTCACTTTGATAAAGCAGCCCTGTGAGCTTTAATATAGTATGCCAGTGACTGAGAAAGTTTCTCATGGATACAGATTTTATAGAACACAACAGGTTTCAAACACCATCTACTAGGTAATGGACAACTGCTGGCATGAGGTATGTATATCTGCTCATACAAACTGGAGAAAACAAAACAACAGGAGCCACTAGGAGTCCCTGCTGATAGCTGAACTGATTCTTATAGGGAAAAATATCCTTTATAGAAGACACCGCTTGTATGTAGTACATTCTATATTGTATCTAGCTCAGGAAATTTTTAATACAGGAAAGAGGTCATAAAGGAAGATTGGCTCCCTTCATTTCAGAAGCGTGTCATCATCATACCCTTCAACATCAACAAAATAAACAGGATGAGATTCTTTTCACCTAATTTTTTTTTGGTTTAAAATTTGTGGCTGAGCTAAAGTAACTGTCCAGATTTTGTTTTCCATAATTACAGGACCATTATGGTACCTCTCCATGGTCATTTGTCCTTTCTCTCTTAGCCACCACAGAATAAAAGATATTTGCCTTCCTATACGGAGATCTTAAACAGCAGATGTGGAGGAGACTTCCACCTTTTTAGGTAGGTAAGGTGTAAAATAACTCTGCCCTTAGAAGGAGAAGGAATGTGTTACCCCACCCATGACTCTAGGAGCTGTGAGTCAAATGCTGATCATGCTTGTTTTATTTTGAGAGATCTGCATCTTTTGTGCCAAAAATGATCCTAATTTATTGTTCCTCTTCATGTAAAAATTTTAATCACCTGCTTGTGGACTATGACTTGTTTCTCACCAGCAACAAAGAACTGTTTTACACATTATTGATGATACTGTGAAATGACCATGATGTTTCATTGGGTTTTTTAATGTAATTGTCAGGAAAATGAGAAAAGTGACTCATATTTGAGGGCATGTTAGTGAAAGTAAACCAGATTAAACTATCGCAACGTAAGATAGATATAAAAAGTAACTTTAATTTTATTTTAGCATGCAGAAATGCATAGCAACATCACTGTCTACAGATTTCTGCATGCTAAAATCAAGAGAAACACATGGAAATTACTGTACCTGAATTATTTTAAAATTTAACTACCAGAAAAGCGCCCTGCCTTTTATCAGCTCTTACCATTTTTTGAGGCATTGAGAGAAGGCAACAGAGCTTGAAAAAGAAGATTCAGAAGCAGATGAATGTGCATACTGGTTCCATATCACCTGCCTTCTGTGCGAGAGCTAAATCTGAAATCCGCCTGACATTAGGCACCCCTATTATTCTGTATATTAGCGTGCTTCTCATTTAATCAGGGAATTGACCAGGAAGCATGTGGAGAAATCTTTAGTGACGCTCTGTGGGTGACAGAATTTGGAAGGATACCGATACCGTGGAAGAATACAATTCATTTCGTTAGCATTTTTTCAAAAGAGTTCTCAGACACTGAGATATATATATATATACCAATTATTTGCACTCCTTCAGTGCTTCCAAGCTGTCATTGTTTGGCCTTAACTGGTAATGTAAACAGGGAAATACATGCTTGTTAGGTTTTCTGATTATCATAACTCATCTGAATGTGTTTTTTCTTTGTAATCACTTGAAGTTGACACCTGAAGTCAAACTTAGAACTGCTGCAAGTGACAGCAACATAAATGGATATAGTCTCACTTTCAATTACTTAGAAATTACTACTGGTAAAATATGATATCTGTTTTCTCACCAGTATTATTGACTTTAGTTTTGGCCCTCAGGGTGTTCATTTGATTTGGAATTCATTCTGAGCTATGTATCAAGGATATTTGCAATTTAGCAACATATGTGGCATCTTCTAGAGTGTTACTGCTTTCTGCTACAGGTAAAAGAGAAAAATAAAACTTTATGCAGGATTCTATAATCATTGCAAAGTAAATGGTAAATTTGCTGATTACTATAAAACCTGAAGAGCAAAAATTTGAAGATAACTGAAAATGCTATTAATATAATTGCTCAGCCAAATATTTTACTACTGAGGAGCTGAAATTTGGCTCCTCATGTTAGCATTTAAATAAGAACACCTAACTTTCAAATGTGCATAGCACTACAAAAATTAGTGCTAACTTCAGCAAGTCTAGAGGTACCAGATACATCTGAAGCTACATAATTGTGACAGAGGCATTTAGACACAGAGAGTTGTAAAACGCTGATCTAAAAAAAATAAAGTCAGCTCTAAAAAATTAATCTTTTTCTCTCTCCTTATATTTGAGCTAGACCAGCATGTGATATCTCTAAGAGTCCAAGTGGTGCCTGCTGGCCCTTTCCCTGGTGGAGCTGGCCCAGCCCTAGCAGGGACCCCCCTGCAGCTCTGGTTCAAGCTCACCTGAACCTAAGGAGTAAAAAATGCACAGGGCAGATATAGGGGGAAAGGAGAGAAGGAAATGAAGGTCTCTGGCCAGCCAGAAGCCACCTGTGCTTGCTGGCACTGCTGGGTCCCAGCACTGGAATCTGGCTTGGAGTGCACATCCTTGTCTGTGTGAAGAGCTATGTGTGTGTTTGAGACAAAGCAGCATTTGGGGGCATGCAAATGACTGTGGAATCTATGCAGGCCTGGGGGCCACAGGAGACTGCACAGGAGGGAGAGGTAGGGCATGGTATGATGCTGCCTGAGGACCAGGCTGGGTCAAGGAGTGCTGACCCAGAGGAAGTGTCAAGAAGGAGTGCAGACACTGAGAAAGTAGGAGACGGAGGGACCCCCTAGCATAGAGGGTGTGAACTGTGAGTGGGGCTAATGCATGTAGCTGACCTTTTTCATATAAATGTTGTCTTTTTATTTATGTTCTTCCAACATCCCACTGCATTCTTTTAGTGGCTTTGTATGTTGACAATTCTGAATGGTGTTTTTTAATTCATAACACAGCTTTTAAAATTAATTGGATTGAAATGAAAACTTTGTCATAATGGAAAAGTTAATCTTAACTACAGATCTGAAGGTGGCTAGCATGACTAATTGCATTATTTGGTTGTTTCAGGCTTCGCCATTCCCTTTTTGTGTTACTGCACGATAAGTAGGAAGGAAGATCAGATATAGTTGAGTTATTTATCCTAAAAGTTCAGCTAAAGTACTAAGATTTGGGGTTATTAAGGCAATAGAATATGTAGTATAGGTAGGCAACTTAAAAAAAAAAGTATTTTCATTCCTTTGCATTCCTGTCAAGTTTGCAGTTGATCAGTATCATCTGCCTACCATTTTGAACTGCTTCACTTAAGGGTCTTGTCTCAAACAGGAAATGAATGTGGAGCATTGTGATAGTGTTTTGTGATCCTCTAGCATCCAGCTGTGTGTTTTTAGATAAATGTCTGGCTTCTTTCTGCAGATTCTGATCATTTTGCAGGCCCATGATTTTAGGAGTACCTGCATTTGCTGGACATTTTTTGTGCAGGTTCATGTTTGCTAGTGGCTCTTTGTCACAATCCAGGACTGAGTATCAGATCCTTGTGACTTTCAGTGATCCTGGTGTGTACAGAAAAAAACATACTGGCATAGTGGCACCTATGGCATGGGACCTACAAGCCTTAGAATCATAGAAAACCTGCGTGAAAGGGTCCTCTGGAGGTCATCTAGCCAAATTTCTCCCTCACAGTGGGATTATCCTCACTGCTGCATCAGCCATACATTTTTCTACCTGATCTCTAAACAATTCTAAATGTGGAGATCCCACAGCCTCTCCTAGAGTATGGAAGAAGAACCTGTTCCAGTGCTGCACTGTTCTCCTTATGAACAGGTTTTATTTTTCATATGCAATCCCAACATCCCAAGCCTCAGTCTGCTGCCCCTTGTATGTAACAGCACAGTTGTATTTGTTGTGTGCAGCATTTGTAATGCAGTATTTGTAACAGTGGAGGCAATGACTACAATATGGAAAAAACCCTAAACTTTGATCATATAGTATTAAGGAGTTTTCTTCCATTTTTAATGACAACAAAACTCAGAGATATTTTAATTTTTTTTTTTTTTTTTTTTTTTTTTTTTTTTTTTTTTTTTTTTTTTTTTTTTTTTTTGAGGGAGCATGGGCTATTTGGTCTCTACAATACTTATCAAGCAAACAGTTAGAAAAATAATTTATGTTACAACTTCCTAATAAAGTTCCAGTACTTGTTAGTCTTCATCCAGTATCCGTTTTGCATTGATACAGATTTCTTGAAGGTGCAGAAATTGCAATTATTTCATATCAAATTGAGCTCTTCATCACTAAAGTTCTTCTGGTGGTCAGGTGTTTTTTTTTCCTCACTATTAGATCCACTTTTGAGGTCTCCATCTGGAAAGATCAAGATGTTCCCCCGGAGTATGTGAGTTATTTTTATGTGTGTATGTGTACTGATCTGTATACAGCTGTATACTTCCAAGCTTTTGTATTTCATTACAGAGGAAACAGAGAGAAGTTGGCACACTTATGAAAAGCAGCATGAAGAGTGTGTAATATTATGCACATAATTCATAGAAATGCCACAAGATACACATATCTTCAATTTTTACATGTTTTCTAGTTACCACATAAACAGCAGATTTAGTTGCTACTGGCCATGAATCAGTAGATTAATGGTCTACCAGAAGACATTATGTTTTAAGACATCCCACAGTGTTTTGGTCCTTTGCTAGGCACTATTGTTAAAAGTGAAAAATAAAAGAAGCAAACAAAACAAAACAAAACAGAAATCCTTAGTGTACCCACATCTTTCAAAATGATGTTTGTGTCTCTTCAGTTGACTCAAAGCCCATGTTGCTTTTTCCCTCTTCACCATAAGGGTTCACCGCTTCAGAGTTTGATCCTGCTTCAACTCTACTTTCTCTTGCTCTCCTGTAAGGAAAAGTCATTTTATAATAGAAGTCCCTGTTCTGTTCAAGTCCTTCTGGATACCCAGAATCAACCCTCTAATGTAAATAATACAGTGTTTAACTGGGAATATTTATATAAAAGGAATTGTGTTGGTTTTAAAGAGGACCTGTGGCAAAGCTACTATGTTCTTGGAAACCCCATTGATGGAGAGACATAGAAAACCAACCAAGCTTTATTCCTCTTAATGCAACAATTTTTAAGGAGAATTACATTACTAGACAGCCTCCAATAAGGTTATAGAAAACTGGAGGTGCTGATGAATGTTGGCAACTCTGCTGCTGGAGAAGGCACTGTGTTCCCAGCAGGACATGCCATCCGCCTTGCAGCAGGGCTGGCAGAAGCCTGGCCACCCTGCAGCTCCCTGTGGCTACAGCATCCGGGTGCCTTGGTCAAACTGCTTGTGATGGGGCAATTGCACTGAGCTGCCAAAGCTGCCGTGCACTGGCAGGGAGCTGAACCTTTAGCTATCCCTGTTGATAGGAGAGGGATAATAAGCTTTCATTCCTTAACTTGTTTCAGTTAGACTTGGCAGCCCAATTCGTAAGAATCCGGATGATTCAATTACTGGGACATCACCACACAGTGGTGATGATCATAGCATCAAAAAATATTACTCACTTTTTGCGATCTCTTTGGCCAGTGATGATCAAGGCGATAACTCCAATGACAACCAGACCAATGACCACCCCAAATACAATTAACCAGATGGTGACTGGAGGTTCATAAGGTGCAGCCAGGGTTGGAAGTATGCCCACAAACTCCAGCGTGCTATCATCCAACCTGAAAGCCTCATTGATTCGTCCCCGAGACATCCTGCCATCAAATGCAAATTCAAAGAGTTTCACACATTTATTGGAAGAAAAGAAACAGTTTTCAGTTGTTTTCTAAATCTCCAGTGTGCCAAGCTTCCTCTAACTGCTCAGTTGAAAAGGCTGCAGAGGAGGTACTGCTAAATCCATATTACTTCTGCCATGGGGTAGTGAGTGACAACCACAGTAAACCCTTAATATGTTGCAGCTTCACTGACATGTTCAGATACTGTATGAACTCTTAAACTCAGTCTTAACATTTATCAAAAGGACACAAACAACCTCGTAGTCTCCCTCTCTATTTGCATTTTGCTCTTCATTCTCTTTACCCTAAGTTTCTTGGCTATCCAAAAGGGTCTTAGATATGTGACATAAAACCACAGCTTTGACTTTTTTTTTACCTGTTTCCCCCTACAGTCTTCTGCAGTTTTAATTTTTGTGGTTTTCACTGCCCTAAACACGCTTTCTCTGGTATCTCTTCTGTGCCCTGTT